ACGAAATTTATTCGGAAATAATATACAGGGTGGTCCGTAAGTAATGGTCCATAGAGAATACTAGATTTTTTACTTCAAAATATTACGATTGGAGCCAATATGCCTTAATAAAATGTTGATAACAAAAAAGATACAGGGTGTCAAAGTTGGAAATTAAAAATTGAATTTTCGTAATAATTATAATATTTTTGAGTGTATGAACGTGAAAATTTAGGGGTAGATGTTTTTGTATACGAGAAATCATAATTTGTTATCTATTTCGATGTATCTTCTAGAGGGCGCCACATACGCCGTGTTTATGACGTAAATACGAGCATAATTTTTTTATCCACAACGTTAACGCTTCTTTTTTTTAAAAATCTTAAACCTACATTATTTTCGTGAAAAAATGGTATACTTGTCATTAGCTCTAGAAATTGTCCGTTTTCAAGAAAAACGCATTTCAACAATCTGCTGCATGTTTCATTACAGGAAATTTTATCGTAGTGTGCGACAATGCCAAGACAGTTTTGACAATTAGAAAAAATCATTGTGACAGTTAGCAATTATTTCAAATTGTATTTATTAATTTTTGGTAAAAATCAATTAAGTATTTAAAAGAAAATAACGAATTATGCCGAGACATAATAATTTCTCGAATTTGGAAATGAGAGATATGACGGTTGTTTATTGTCAACAAAATTTCAATGGACGTGCTGCGCAACGTGAATATTGCCGAAGATTTCCAAACAGATTGCAACCTGGTAAACGACTGTTTCAAAATCTATTCAGAAACTTAGGCGAAAGTGGTTCATTTCGTCCTAAACGTGATAATTTAGGTCGACCAAAAATGATTACGCCTGACCAGGAAGACGAAATACTAATTCGCATTGCAGATGATCCACAAACTAGTTCAAGACGATTAGCTGCAGCCACGGGAATTAATAAAACATCAATTTTAAAGACATTACATGAAGAAAAATATCATCCATATCATTTTACACCAGTTCAAAATTTATTACCTGTCGATCTTCCTTCAAGATATCAATTTGCAAGTGATATTCGGAACAAGCAGAATACTGACTATACATTTGTCAACAGAATATTGTTTACAGATGAAGCGACATTTACTCGCCGAGGTATTTTCAATTTAAGAAATAAGCATTGTTGGGAAGTTCAAAATCCTCATGTAACTCGAGAACGGCACTTTCAACATGAATTTAAGATTAATGTTTGGTGTGGGATCATTGGAAACCATTTTCTAGGTCCATATGAGTTGCCAGGAAATTTAAATGGTACAAGTTATTTAAATTTTTTAGAAAATAGCTTTGTTGATCTATTGGATGCGTTACCACTGAATTTGAGGCAAAATATGTGGTTCATGCAAGATGGCGCTCCGCCACATTTTACTCATCAAGTAAGAACATATCTAAACCAACACTTTCCTGAACGTTGGATTGGCCGTGGTAGTATATTTCCTTGGCCGCCACGTAGTCCAGACTTCAACCCTTTAGATTTTGGTGTATGGGGCACAATGAAGGAAATTGTTTATAAAAACACTATAAATACTCGCGTCCAACTTTGGCAAGAAATTAGTAATGCCTCAACTTTTTTTGATCCAATGGTATTATTTAATATTAGACGATCTTTCATAAATCGTATGGACAAGTGCATCGAGGTGAATGGTGGACATATTGAAAATTTACTTTGAAACATTTCCTATTTTTCCTTAGGTACATATTCAGTTTTTTACTTGTTAAACGCTTGATAAAATCATAGTTTTGTTTAATTAAATTTCTCCTTTAACTGGTTTTGTAAATAAAATTTATCAACTTGATAATTTGTATTTTAATGTGTACAAAGGGATAATGTTTAATTGTCAAAATTAATGTTTTCATTAGCGCACACTACGATAAAATTTCCTGTAATGAAACATGCAGCAGATTGTTGAAATGCGTTTTTCTTGAAAACGGATAATTTCTAGAGCTAATGACCAGTATACCATTTTTTCACGAAAATAATGTAGGTTTAAGATTTTTTAAAAAAAGAAGCGTTAACGTTAACGATAAAAAAAAGTATGCTCGTATTTACGTCATAAACACGGCGTATGTGGCGCCCTCTAGAAGATACATCGAAATAGATAACAAATTATGATTTATCGAATACAGAAACATCTACCCCTAAATTTTCACGTTCATATACTCAAAAATATTATAATTATTACGAAAATTCAATTTTTAATTTCCAACTTTGACACCCTGTAGCTTTTTTGTTATCAACATTTTATTAAGGCATGTTGGCTCCAATCGTAATATTTTGAAGTAAAAAATCTAGTATGTCTCTATGGACCATTACTTACGGACCACCCTGTATATTTCATTAAAGCGACTATATGTTTCCGATAAAAAAAATTGTTTGGCTGGACAACAAATAATCATTTTGTGTTTGAATATTTAACTTCTTTTTTAGAGATATGTACATATGTTACTAAATGTTACAGTTTGTGGTAATATTAATATAGTTACGATAAATAAAATTTGCTTAAGTAAATAATTTGCTGTAAAGGAATTGTAAGCGATGAAAAAATGAGTGCCAAGAAAAATCGTTTCTTTGTTCTTCAAACTGTTCTTTCGGCATACATGTGAGGAATATTTTTTGCGACCCTAAACAACATCAAGTCAGAGAGTAAATAGTTCAACAGATTATGTATTCGTACACTGTAAAAAAATCGGTGTGAGTGAAAGCAATAAAGGTTCGGAGTGAATTCATTGAGTGAAATTATTCAGTACATTTTAACTCAATATTTGGCATTTAGAATATTTTACTCATTTATAATTATATTTAAACTAAAACTGAGTACTTTCATTCAAATATAGATACTCCTTAAATAAATTCTTCACGTAAACTCGTATTTGGTGCACTTGCGCCTAAATCAGAGTAAATGTCTTCATTACTGAGTGATTCCACCCTTTTTCATATCCAGATGCATTGTCTTTGTCTGTTTCAATCGTCCCATTAGGTTATCTCGTGACCGTGGCGTGGTGGATGGCAGTATGGCGTATGGCGTGCTTTGGATTGGACAAGCATCGGTTTATCTGGTTATTCTAGTGAAAATTGTATTTAAATGCAGTGATTTAATTACAATAATTTAAGGCAATATATTAAATCTCAATTAATATTTGGTTAATTAACGGATAGTCAAATTGTTATCTACGAGTATAATTATGTATTTGTAACGTACAATATAAATTATGGCAATTTATTTATCCGATCAGTGAATTATTCGAATCAATTGTCTCTAAATAAATCTGTGTTGAAACCACCATGACTGTTTAGTAATTTATGACAATGATATTTAAATTAACATTTCAAGAAAATATAAAGTGGTGCAAAACCACTCCAATCTTTAATAACATGGAAGCATTTAGTAAGTAAATTGTATGCATTAGTAGACCTAATTTCAAATAACATGACTTACCCAAAAATTATACAAATTTAATAAATTACAAAAAAGTTATTCTAAAATACGGATCTCTTAATTTCAAGGGGTAATATACGGGGGTTCCGAATTTTATGCAGTTATTATGAAAAATATTTTTTTTGTTTATATCTCCGGAACCTATTACCCGATCTCAATAAAATTTGGTACAGATAATCTATGACAGTAGGCCTTACATTCCCTAAAATAGGAGCTCTAAAGATACAACCACTGGTGTACAACTGGGCAAGGGTCATCTCCTTTTTTATAAAAAAAACCTACTCCACTGCATTTGTAAGCACATCAACAAAATTCTTTACACTCGTTTCCACACCACCTGCATTTCTCCTTGAAGCCTAACCCACTATCTTTACAAATAATAACAACTTAAATCAAAATAATTATAAATGTACATTTACCAAAGGTGAGGGGTAGTCAATTTTCACAAGCTGCATATTTGGTCACAAGAAAATCCTCAGGAAATTCGGACAAGATCTTTTTAACACGAATTTTCTGTGAACGTGTGGCTCGGAATAATTCGCAATAAAGTTTATGGATCTTTCTTCTTGCCACCCCGTCTAAATTCCCAGTCATTTCTAAATTGTCTAGAAAACCATCTATTTGAATTATTAGAGGATGCTCCATTAAATACGACAAAATAGCTGGATAGCGGGATGGTACTCCTGCGCATTCTGGGAGAATAATATAAGAATGGCTTAATGAAATTTATATGGGACGATGGATAGGTAGGCCAAATGCCAATGGCAACCATAATGGTGCAGAGGGTCCAGTGTCTTAGTCAGTCAGATTGCCACATCTAAACCCCCTGAACTTCTATGTTTGGGGTTATCTGAAAAGTAAAGTTTATTCTACTCCAACAGATACAAAACCACAACTATTGCAACGAATAGAAGACGGGTGTAATGAATTAACAGAAAAGCACCACTTGATATTAATTCCATTAGTAGAAGAGTCAAAAATGTATCGATGTGGGTGGTTCGCATTTTGAACAATTGTTGTAAATACGTAACGTTAATATTGTTTCTTGTTTACTTGCTGTTGCTTGATAAATATATTTTTATTATTATTTTGATTTAAATTGTTCTTATTTCTAAAGAGTATTAGGCCTCCAGGGAAAACTTAAACACGCCAGGAACACTACCTGACAGGTGGTGTAGAAGGGAGTGTAAATAAGCATAAACATAAATATTTTTGTAATGTCATGGTTAGCAGTGTCTGCCGCAAGGAGATTGTAATGGTATGAATAACTTGAGAACGGCGAATCTTAGGGAATAAATTCAAGTTATCTTTTTTACGTATTTTGTGCATTAGAATATAAATTAGTTACAACATCTCAGTTACAATATCTCTCCAATTTGAAAGTTCATCATTTGCAGAACACGCTGTATAGCGTCTAATTAATTTCAACACTGTGTATCCTAATTAATCATTTATGAGTGATTTATTTTTGCACTCAATATTTAGATAATTAAAAGCTATCTTCTGTATTTATCGTTTTAGTAATGATGTGTATTTTTTCCAGGTTCCAGTTCTATGCATTTATGCATTAACAACTTTAGCGATATTAGATGGGGCAAATTCCCAGATGTCGTGTTCTTATGGAGAAAGAGGATCTTTGACAGTGTACTGCACCAATGCTACTTCGATATTTTTCAAACTAGTTTCATACAGATTCGATCACCTTGATGAAACTTTAAAATGTGTGAATTGCTCCTTGACCACATTGGACCCAGGCACCTTCGATATAAGTGGAAACCAAATCAAAACTTTGGATATTCGAAATAGTTCTATAAAAACTATTTGGCCCAAAGCTTTCATCGGTTTAATATTTATGGAAAAATTGCTACTATCGGACAATCCCATTATAAACATATTCGCAGGAGCTTTTGTCGGCATAAGGAAAGTTAAATACATAGAAATCGAAAATTCTATATCGTCACTGGATCCGTATGTTTTCCAAGAACTTCGACTGTTAGAAGTCTTAAATTTAAGAAGAAACAAACTGTCGGTATTGTTAGAAAACACTTTTCAAGGATTAGAAAACCTTAAAATACTAGACCTGAGCTTTAACCAACTTAGAACTTTTAGCAGTTGCTTTGCACCACTATTATCATTAAGAGTTTTAATACTGCAAGATAATAAAATAACTAAAATTAATGGCAATGAATTTAGTAACCTGTTAACGCTGATTCAGCTAAATTTAGAAAGCAATGATATAACAAACTTCACTATTAACATAGATCCCAATAACAACCTTAGAGTGCTGAATCTCGCGAGGAATCGACTAACAAGCGATGGAGTGGGAACTTTCAAAAATTTGAATAATTTGGAAGATCTCGACTTGAGCAAAAATTTATTCACCAGAATACCTTCTAAATTTTTCCTAGGATTATTCCGACTAAGAAACTTAAATCTCTACGCTAATCAAATTAAAGAATTTTCTACTGGGACATTTTCGGGATTGCCTCACTTAATATACCTAAATCTTTCCAGCAATAATTTGGAGACTGCTAAAATTAGCGGTCGACTGTTACTACACAGTTTGCATACTTTGGATTTGTCAAACAACCACATAAAAGAATTTGATTATATATCGTTCATAGCGAGTATGCCTAGAATAACGCACATAAATCTGTTAAATAATTACTTACCTTGTCACATCGCAGCTGAAATAGAAACTCTGTTTAATGAAGACAACATAAGATTTTATATGAGCAATAATAAAACTGTTGAGAGTTGCGATACTGCGCCTAGATCCCCGCAAGAAATTATTCAGGAACTCATTGATGAAAAGTATAAGGATTCATCAAATGCTCAAACATCGGAAGTTGTATTTATTCTTTTAATTTGTATCATTATAGTTTTAGTAGCTATTTTGTTTTATGTACAATTTTTTATTCTTTATAGAATACCAGGAGAAACACTTAATATTCGCATAATGAACAGTCCTGGCAGCAGTAGTTAAATCATTAAGGACTTTTGTAAATAAAATAATTCCTGATATTACCAAAAATGTACCTACTTTACCGGTTGCTTAATCCTGATAAGGATTATACTAATTAACAACATTTTTGTTTAGTTTACTAAAATTTACTGACTTTAATTCCGTAAGTGAACTATTTTAAAATTACTATTTCCAAATTTAACTTTTAAAAACTTGTAATGTATAAATCATTGTCACTGTATATATTAATTTAAAGTTAGATTAGATCATTTAAATATACCTATTTTTACAATGTAAAAACGCATCTTTTATAACAATTACAAGTAAATTAAACAATTTTCGTAAAAAAGTGCGTCTAAATTTTACTTTCCCTTGCATGTTTTAATTAATTGCATAAGTTACAGTAGAAAAAATAACTGTGGCAAGTCGTAGTAATAGTTTTTTCTGCCATACAGTAGCGAATATAATAATAATATTTTTATATCTCTTCTACTTACAAACAACAGTTCAAAGGTCGAAGACTTATGTGGGAGAAGTGGTGGCATTCGCGCCTAGGACGATTTCTGTGCATTCTAACCACCATTCAGTGCCTTAAAATAATGGCCCATACTCTAATATACAGGGTATTCGCACCTGGAAAATATCGGAGTTAAAAAAAACTGAGACACGTTTTCTATTTTCTGAGACATTTTCCATTTAGGCATATCATCTAAACTGAAGAACTGACCGTTACCGTAACAATAACAAAACTGTGTACCAAAACAATAAGTTTCAGACAGCAAAATAAGTAAAATATGTAAATACTTAAATATATGAACAGATAAATAAATAAAAAATATAAAAAAAATCGTTAATTGACTAGAACAAGGTACATATAAGAAGAATTAAATAAAACAAAAATAATTTATTAACTAGAACGGGATATAAATTTAAAAAGATTTATTACGACTATGTGCTCTATTGAATTGTTGTTGCCTCTCCTCTTTTTCTTTGGTCTTCATAATTTTCCAGATATACCTTTCTACACATTTCCATTATTCTTTTGATTTCAACATAACTAGTATAATGTTATCAGGATGTATCTGTACTCCGAGAGCAATTTCCACCTGTGCCTTCTCCCTCGCCCATCTCTGGCACTCAAATATAGTATGTTCTACATTGTCCTCCGCAACTAACACAACGTTCATCTGGGCTTTTGCCAATTTTATGTGTATAACTCCTAAAGATCCCATGTCCTGTCAATACCTGAGTCAAATAGTAATCAAAATCCCCGTGCTTTCTCTTTCTCCACACATCAACCGTCGGAATAAGCCTCCTTGTCCAAGTTCCCTTTGAACTGTTTTCTCATTCATTTTGCCTCTTGTTCTCGATTTCCGTCCTTACCTCCATCCTGTGGTATATAATTATCTCCTTTTTCCTGCTATCAAGTCTATAAGGACTAATCCTGCCACGACCATGGCCGCCTCATATGATACTGTCCTATAAGCCCTACACACTCGTAATACCATTTTCTTCTGTACCCTCCGCAGGGCATTCCTACGAGGCCACACTCATCGTCTCCGCTCAAACCTTCGCGTCATTATCAACTGAGCGACGGACGTAGCTAAGCATCTTGCGTTTAGCACCACCTGGCCTTATTTTTTGACCTTATCAATGCCATTACTGTTCTGTCTGCCTTTAACGCCAAGCTTCTTGTATTTGGATCAAAAGTAACTGAGGTGTCTACGAGGAGCCCCAGACATTTATTATAGTTTCCGTCTTTTCGGGCACCAGTTCCAGATCTAGAGATTTCATCCAACACACTATCTCTTCCAATGCTTCATTTATTTTATGTATCAATTCCTCGAAATCTCTATGCCTTCCTATTATCACCAGGTCATCGGCATACCCCACCAGATTAACTCCTTCTGGCATGGTTAACTTTAAAACTCCATCGTACATAGCATTCCATAAAATGGGTCCCAGGCCCTGTGACACACCGATATTTACTCTCCGAACACTCTCTTCCCCCATTATTTATCTATTCGATAAATAATCTTTGACAACATCCATTAGAACTGATTTAAGATTCATCCGCTCCAACGCTATTACTATATTATTCCATCCTACAGAGTTGAAAGCATTTACGTCAACCATTGTTACTATGCACCATTCCCTTTTCCCTTTTCCCTTTTCCCTTTTCCGTTTTCCCTTTTCCCTTTTTCCTTTTCCCTGTTCCCTATTTGCATCCTTAGCTATATTTATTACTCTGGTCATAGAGTCCACAGTAGACCTCCCCTTGCGGAATCCATATTGGTCGTCTGATATCAAGTTTTTACTTTCAAACTCCTGTACTAGCCTGTTTTTGATAAGCTGCTCATAGAGTTTCCCTAAAGTGTTTAATTGGCAGAGAGGTCTGTACTCCCTATCTCCTCCAGTCTTTAAAGGCTTCTCTATTAAAACTAGTTTAGCTTTCTTCCAGATATCTGGAAATCAGGCCACTTCGTATAATAGATTCATTACTCTAAGCACCATATCTCCTGCTGCCCCTATCTCGACAGTTTCCGCAGGTATTCCATCTATTCCTGGGGCTTTCCCATTTTTCAGTTTCTTTGCTGCGCCTTCCAATTCCCCCTTAGTAAAAGGCTTTTAGGTTCCTTCAGGCCTCTCTCTCTGCGGAAATAATTCGAAGAATTTTTTCGAGAAATCAATAGTTTTTTAGTTATTCACGATTGAAAACTTGGAATTTTGAGTGAAAAAAAAAAACACTGTTTCAAAGTATTTTTCGCGAATAACTCAAAAACTACGCATTTTATTTAAAAATGTGTAATAAACAAAAATGTAGCTTATAAATAAACAAAGAAAATCGTTTTTAAAAAGTGTTGTACGTCCTATACAAAGCAAAATATGGTTCGTGGAAGGGAACTTGTTTTGGGAGAAATACTGGAACGTCAAATTTTCAATATTCAACGTCAACGTTCAATATTCAACGTCAAATAACGGAAAAAGGATTAATTTTACGCGTATAACGCTCCAGGAGTTTTTTGTAGTACTCAAAAAGACCTTCAAAACGAGCACTTATAAAAGTTAATTAGAGCAAAAATGAAGGAGTTATCGTCAAAAACGCATATTTTGTTGCGCGTATTTTTTAAGGAAAAATGAGCAGTAAACGCTGTACTATATTCATCAGAATTAAAATTAATCGTAGATCCTTTACAATTAGTTTTGTTTTAGTATTTTTCATACGATCCTGAAGTTAGACCGATTTAGAATGCGAAGTTGAAAACGTATTTTTCATTATTCCAAAAAAAAATTGCCTTATTTATGTAATAACTCTGAAACTATGAAAGATACGTACAAAATGATTGACAACAAAAATGTAGCTTTTTTCAACAAATATTTTGCTTTTTTTTTATTCCTATAGCATAAAAAATAAAGGAGATATCGCCGCTTGAGGTATCCATTTTAGTGAAAAAATGTCCTGTCTTGAGCCCTTCGATCCTTTCCCTTTAAAAAACGAAGGACTTAAAAAGTATGCAAACGATCTTACAGCTCTTAAAATTATCTCTAAAATGCTTTTTTGTAGGATATTATAGCTTCAAAATTAACCAATGACATTTTTTCGGCGTAAAATAGGCTTTCTCATTTTTATATATTATATTATACAAATAAAATAAGTAAAAAAAAATAGTGTGATTATTTACATGCAGCGTAGCAATTTTTTTATGATTGATTATATTTAAAAATCGATTATAATAAAAATATTTTACATTAATAGTGGTAAAAGGGNAACCGATTTATGGTAAAAAAACCAATGACATTTTTTCGGAGCAAAATAAGCTTTCTAATTTTTATATATTATACAAATAAAATAAGTAAAAAAAATTAGTGCGATAATTTACATGCAGCGTAGCAATTTTTTTATGATTGATTATATTTAAAAATCGATTATAATAAAAATATTTTACATTAATAGTGGTAAAATGGTAGTTTATAAGAGTTGCAAAAGGCATAAGTAAAATATTCTTTCATAAACAATATAAGGGAATTTTTATTTTAAATTATTGCACAATTATAGCATTCCAAGATTTAAAACGTAATTTTTTATAATTTTTTTAGCACAGGCGTGATTTATAAGGGTTGAAAAGTTTTATGAGATACAAATTCTTTCATAAGCAATGAGGGAATTTTTATTTTAAATAATTGCATCGTTAAAGCATTCCAAGCTTTTAAAAAGTAATTTTTTATTATTTTTGTCAATACAGGGGTGGTTTTTAGGGGTTGAAAGGGAAAAATTATTTTATTAGCTATAAGGTAACTTTTATTTTAAATAATTGCACGATTTACTCATTCCAAATCTTTAAAAAGTAATTTTTTATCATTATTTTTTGCATATGGGTAGTTTTTAAGGGGTCGAAAAGATCAAATATATCATAAAACATGGAACATTATTTAATCTTTGTGCTTGAACAAGATTTTTATCAATAAAATGCTTATAACTTATTTTTTTCAATTTTTTTCACTTAGGGGTAGTTTTTATCCCTAAAAAAACAAAAAGCGTCAATCGGGCTTTCATCACTTTTGAACTTGAGCCTAAGATGAACGTTATTCTAAATTTACATGCAAATCCATGCAGTTTCAAAGAATTCGGAGGTTACAGCTGATTTTCAGCTTCAATGACTGTACTAAAAAGAAAACTCATTTTCCATTACTCTACAGTTTGGTGTCTTGGAAGCTACCCCTTAGGCAGGGACTAAAATACCCTTAAACTTTAAATGGCACCCTATGTTGAGTGACACCTTATTTTAAAGTTTTTTCAATTCTGCTAACGACGACATATGACTTTAAATTTTAGTTTGGATATGACAATAAAATCATCATGTCTTATTCTTTAAGGGATGATTTTATTGTAGGGTGCCTTTTAAAGTTTATATGTCTTGTCACAATGCTTATTAAGTTACTAATAGGCACTGATTTTGTATTTGTTTGTGATTTCTGTTCGATTTTTAAAAATCATTGCACCTATCAATTCTTAATGGGTAAAACATGGGTAATTCAAAATTATTCACATATCCTTATTATTTAAATATCTCTACTATCTTTTTAATTTGTTTTATAGTCATCATAGCCATGAGTAGGATATATTATTAAAAATTTGTTCCGTTAACATCGCTTATTTTACCTACATCTGCATTTTACTTCAAGAAAGAAATTAGTAGAATATTAGATATTTTAATAATTTTCACATATTTTGGCAGATCAATAGAAGCGAATAAAACATCTGCTGTTGGATTTCCAGTCCCCGGAACAATTTCTCGAGCGAAAATGTAGCACAAGGTTAAACAGCCCCAGAT